TGTATGTGTGTCCCCATCCTGGAGTCTTAAGACACCAACAGGTAATTCTGCTATGGCTAAGACCGCTTAGGCTACAGCTTTCATAGGGCTTCAGAGGGTTTACGGGTGGGTAGGGAGGGGCTGCCGTTCCAAAGGGCACAGCTGACTCCAGCCCAGTACTTCACCAGAGAAAATTCACTGGACCCCGTTTTCTCTTACCAATAAAAGCACCAAAGGAGGGGAAATCCCCAAGAATTCCAAAGAATAAAAAGGCCCCTAGCAGGCAGGCCTTTGATGCTGGCTCACTATTTACAGGTTCTGTTCTAGGTCTCGGGTGTAGCAGTGATTTGGAAAGACCAGGCCCCACTCTCATGGCGTTCCTGTTCAGGTGGGGACCGCAGAACACCCTCCCCACCAGGGCCAGAGGGAGGGCGTCTCCGGGTGGGATAGGAGGTTGGCGTTAGAAATGCCCAACCCTTTAATAAAAGCAGCAGCAGAGACTAAAAAAGACTCATTACTTTCCTCTCTAGCACAGCGGTTTCTCAGCCCAGGAGGTACATTAAATTTATCTGGAGAGCTTTAGAAAAACACTCATGTCAGGGGGACACTTGACCACATCTCTGGGGCGAGCCTGGTTTCAGAGTGACCCGGGTGATGATAGTGCGCAGCTGGGGTTGATGGCTACCGTTTTACGGCCTCTGCACCACACAGCGGGTAGAGTTCATCAAATGGTTTCACAACCAGAATTTCTCCTGAGTGAAGCACTGTTTTGTGTCCTGCCCTACCAAATGTATTTCAAAGTCTAGATCAACACGGACCACCTATCTCCATTTCTGTGAGCGCCTGTTGCCCGCAGGACACAAAAAACTGAAGTCAGTTCTTTGATAGCAATCAGTTCTTCTTCAAGCTGAGGTCTGGCAACCCTTTTCTCTAGAAGATAACTTTTTTACTTGCAATTTCAATTTTGATTGCTTTGGGTTGCCTCCTTTCTATCTATCTTGGAAAGGCAAGTTTCCAGTGAAAGAATCAAGCCCCTCCCCTTTAATGACTCCATCTTATTTTTCATTAATTAGATGATTTTTTGCAAA